CATAGGGGCCGAAGAAAGTAAAGATTCTTCGTAGAATTAGTTTAATAATTCAAGGATGATTGTTAGTTTGTGATGATTGCGTGTGTTCAGTGGTTTTGCTTACGGAATTAATGTCTGGTTTGTGTGAGGGTGTTCGATTCACCTCGTGCGCATTGTGATTCTGTTCACGATCGCCTCTTCGCCGGTAGACAATATAACTGAGTGAGTGACAACTTGCACTGCCAACGTATTATTCATGGTTGCAGCGCCTGGGAGAACTAACCTAAGGATTCACGTACCGGAAGAACTGGGGTGGGAGGGCAGTGGAGCGCAATTCTCTTACGTTTCGCCTTCACGAATTCGCCTTTGAAAACGATAAAAGCGTGGAGTCAGATGCATCAATGCGTATTTATTCTCCCCAGTACCCTCACGGTGCGAGCCATCAGGCTGGAAGCTACTTATTATGAGATCCTCCGTATCTCCGGAGAGCGCACCTCACACGTGCATGGCCCTAAAATCACGTCTTGAACTTGATCACACCTAGAGTAACCTAGCCTTATATCCAGATAGGATCAACTGTTTGTTCCGTATTCGCCTAGGAGACAGTTAGAGATTTCTTGGCCTCACAACTCGTTTTCTTGCTTGAGCTGAACGTCGAGCGATTTAGAATGAACTCGTGTGTGCGACCCTCTGGAATTTTGTTCTGGTACCAGAACCTACGTCATTTAGCACTAGTTCTAGTGCTTTATTCCGATGTCAGTTCTCCATGATGATGCACTGCCTCGCTCATTTCGTTTTCCTTGACGGTCGGAAATATCCCGCTCTAAGCCGATTATTTCAACACATTGAAAAAACTCAGGTTCACATAGATCACACATGTTCAGGATTTGACATCCTTGCTTGCGGTAATATAGATAGTTGCTTTTCAAGAAATCGAACACAATAAAACTACCCTGTTTCTTCTTGCCTTGAACCTGTGACAGCCTCAAAATGATGGGCGTAAACTTGCGTAAATTTTGTGTTACGATTCGTATCTGAAGCACATAGTTGGCGTGACTAACGGCGCTGTTCGGCTTCGAGGGTGGGAGGGGCATTTTGCCCTTTCGCATTACTTTTGCGACCTCCTGTTAAATTACACGGCTTACCTCGGTGACACCCATGGGTTCTTGTCTAGTGTAAAGTAATCTCGTACTGCTGCATAGCATCACAAGAGTTCATAACTCTCCACCCGAGCATCGGCAGTGATAAATAGGTAGAAGCGAAATGCCCCCACCAAGCCGAACTACGCCTAAATTGCTTTCACTTTATTTCTAACCGTTGACAGTTGACGTTTATT